CGATGCAGGACTAGATCCCAGGACCCTGGGATCATGACCTGAGCCGAAGGCAGACGCTTAACCATCTGAGCCACCCAGGCGCCCCCCAAGAATTTTCTTAAGGGGATAATAAGAGATAAATTTTATCCAGCCCTTACTAACGACTGGATACCATAAAAGGAAGCACTGCATGGATGTTTGGCTAATGTAATCCATGTAACATCCATGCGAAGAAAGTACTAGGGCTTTGTTCAATTTTCAAATATAGAAAATGAAATTCAATAAAGGTGATAAAGAAAATGGAAAAATACGTCCAATGTCAAGAATCGAGTTCTCAAGCAGAATTCCACACTGGTGGCCTCAACCACTTTACCTTGTTGTGTGACCCTGGGCAAGTCACATCACCTGAGTCTGATTCCTAATCTGAGAAAGAGAAGTAACAGCTCCTTCCTGAAGGACTGTTTTGAGAATTTAACTTGATAAAGATGTACATATATCAGATGTACATATATAGCCATCTTACTATTATTTCATTTCCTTTCTGAAATCAAACACCTCCATCGTGGGCTGATCACTGAGTACATGACGGTGACCAAGACCATCCCAGCACTTATTCTCAGGGAGCTCACACACCAGTGCAGACAACCCTGTAACAGCCCAAAACCATCAGGGCTTGAGCGGGACATGTCCAGGGCCTCTGGGAAGTCAGAGGCAGGCACGTGAGGGGTAAGGGGACGCCGAAGGGTTCTTGGAGGAGTCCTGTGAGCTGAAACCTTCAAAGGCGAACAACAGTGACCAGGCTAATGGCCAGAGTACAAGATGGACTGGAGGCGCGTTAAAGACACATGAAGCAGTGTGTGCAAAGGCTGAACGATTAACTGACGGTTTGGCTTGAGAAAGCGAAGGAAGAGAAGTGAATGCGGGGGGACGGAAGAGGGGGTCGGCTCGTGCGAGGTAACCTGGAGTCTGGACTATCCCCAGAACTCACCATCCTTCTTGATCTTCTCGTTGAGATTGTTGATATAAATAGTGTGGTTGGGGCGGGTCTCGGGAACTGCCATGGTGAGAGATGCCGAGGTAGAGCTGAAAGAAAGAAAAAAAGTAACTTCAGCCCTGGGTTTCTCCAAATCCTCTGCCCCAAAGCGGGCTTAACGGACTGCTCAGGGATCTTCCTTCCAGGAGGAAGTCAGGAGAGGCGGGAAGGAGGCACAGCTTGAAAAACAAAGCGAAAGGAGGACCGCTTCCGCTCCCCCGCGTGGTAGAGGGAGATCTCGAGAGGTTTACTACGGGTCCCAAGATGCTCTATGCGACCCAGTAGGCGGAGCGTCCTAAGTGGCGAACCCCATTGGCCCACGAGCTCAAAGGACGGCCCAGAAGAAAAAAACCCGGATGTAAGAGTCAGTTAAGGAAAGACACGACTCTAAGGCGCCCTAACCTCGCGCAGCGGGAAGACAGTTTGCCCACACGAGGCGCGAGAAGGCCCAGGCGGCAAGCGCTCCGCTCGCCCGGCGTCGATGGCTGCCGTTGCCCGAGATCACTCACCAACAGAGCCGCAGCTCCTGCAGGAGTCGCCTCCTACGTTTCTGAGAGTCGACTACCAAAGCTTCCTCTCCTGGTCCCGCCTTTGTCTTTCTGCAAGCCAATCCCGCGCGTAAACTCAGTAGCTTGACCAATCAGAGTCAGTCGCGCCCCTGGGCCCAAACCTTGCCAATCAAAAACGACATTTGGGTTCCCGCCTCGGCCGAAAAACCCCGCCCGACCCGGCACTGAGGCCCTACGGACCAATCAGCGAAGGCCGCGGCCCCTCACGCGCTTCAAGGCAATGGAGAAGCCGCTCGTGCTTCAGTCTCTTCCGGGGGGCGGTCCCTTAAAAGCCCCTCCTCCCCCCACCGCCCCGCCTTCTCTCGTCACGTGACGCCATAGGGGCGGGCACGAGTCGCGAGTCCCGCCACGTGATATGGGAAAAATGTGTGCTGCGGCCGCCATTTTGGTGGAAGGGGAGGTGCGTTTTACTTTCTGGCTCCATTACCTATACCGGCGGTATCCCGGCTTTCAGCGTCCTCCGATCTCTGAGCCTTCCCCGACCCAGAGGACTTTGCCTTTTGCGCTCTGATTCCAGGACCTTCTCCACGACTAAGCCATTCTCCCTGCCAGGTGTCCTTTTGATCTCTTGACCTCTGATTAAAAGGTCAGCTCCAAGGTTCCGAACTCGGGCCTGGGATGTGAGGGGTCACAGAGCCAAAATTCCCTAGTTTTTAGCCCTGGGTCCCCCAAATCCCACCCTTTAGGCACCCCACCCCAGATCCGAGCATTCATTTTCCCAAAATTGACTCCGGAGTTTTACAAACCTTTCCCGGGTTATACAGTAACCCTTAACTAAATCCCTTTTCTTGAGCCTTGCAACCCAGCCCCAAACTACAAATCTAGTTCCGGATAAAGGACCCGCCCTGTTAACCCCCTGCTTCCATGGTTCCAAATGTCAGTCCTGGTCCTTTCAGGCCCACTACTCAGCACACAAGTCCTGGAACTCCGCGCTAAAACCTTCAGAACGCCCATCCCTGTGACTAACTCATTTTAGAGTATCCATCCCGCCCCCATTCTTGACCTTCCGGCACTTGCATGCCATAGACCCCAAAATGATTTCTCCGTGCTCTCCTCCGGTAGAGCCCCCAGCCTCTCCACAAACCCCTGTTCCCCAAGCCCCCATCACTCCACTTCCTCTACCCCCAAATGTCCCCAATGTAGCTTTTTCACCCCCCTCAAGTCTCCAGGCCCCTATCCCCCCACCACCACCCCCACTGCCACCTCCACCCTCTGTGAGGGGACTGGCTCCCCCTCACGTCTTCGGTCTAGAGAAGAGTCAGCTCCTGAAGGAGGCCTTAGAGAAGGCCGGCCCAGTCCCCAGGAGCAGAGATGACGTGAAGAGGCTCCTGAAGCTGCACAAGGACCGGTAGGGTCTCACCGAACCACCTGTCCCCAGGTCACTTCAGCCATCTCCTCTTGGGGTTTCCCATTTCCCCAAGGTCAAAGAGCCTGAGTGCCTCAGCTCCCTACTTAGATCCATTCAGGGCACGCCTTCACCAAAGAAGAGAGATCCTGCCCTCAAGGCACCTAGTCCAGTGGCAGAGACACATCCCTCCCTCACCAGTGACAGCCCACAGTGGTCAGAGCTATAATGAGGGAGCCCCCAGGGCGGGCCTGGCCAAAGCTGGGGCTTAAGGGGGCCTGAGAACTGTCCGGGGTGTGATGAGGAGAATGAACAGCCTGTGCAGAGTTGCAGGCTGAAATGAAGAGGTATTCTTCTCAAGGATCTGCAAATATTTCTGTAACAGGACAGGGGAGGTGGTAAACATGGGGTTCCTCTTTTCTTTTTTTTTTTAAGATTATTTATTTGACAGAGACACAGCAAGAGAGGGAATACAAGCAGGGGGAATGGGAGAGGGAGAAGCAGACTCCCCACAGAGCAGGGAGCCAGATGCAGGGCTCGATCCCAGGACCCTGGGATCATGACCTGAGCCAAAGGCAGGCAGACACTTAACGACTGAGCCACCCAAGCGCCCCAGACATGGGGTTTCAACAAGCAGGAGCCCAGATCACACAGGGCATGGGTGCCACGTGGAGGAAGGTGGACTATCCTGAGGGCACTGGGGAGCTTCGGAAGAGCTTTGCACAGAGAGGGAGGCTACCTGTGGGGACTGGAGGTGGTGAGACAGTCAAGGGGTCCAGGAGGAAGCTGGAGCCCCCAGAGATCCAGGCGGGAGGGGGCTAGACCCACGCTGGGGCTGTGGTGACCCGGTGTAACAATAAGTGAATTGCCCAGACTCAGGGAAGAAACTTCCAGCTCTCTAGACAAGTTTCTAATCTGTTTGGTTAGGACGTTTGTCAGGCACTATTCTAAGTGTGTTTAGATATTTATTTCATCCTCTCAGTGATTCTGTAGGATAGGAACTATTATGTCATATTCCAGATGAGGAAACCGAGGCTCACGGAGCTGAAGTCCCTTAGCCACAGCACTTAGAAGAGCCCAGTTTGCATTCTGGCAGCAGGCCTTCATGCTTTTAAGCACTGTGCTATCATCTTCCATCAGGACGGTGCTCCAAACTGGGAACCAGGAGCTTTGGGTTTTCTCCCCAGCCTTACTCTTTCACTGGCCTTGGAACGGAAATACTGGATACGCTGGTTCCCCAGCCCCTCCTGAGCCCAGGGCCTCATCCGGATCAAACTTTTTTGAGTGACTTCCCCAAGGGTGGGGCTGGGCAGGCCTGCAAGAGCTCACTATCCAGGTGATCTCTTAGGCCTGTGGAGCACGCTCTTACCTGGTTCTACTCTAGGCTGAGTTAAGGGATTTTCATCCCTATTGAACAGGCTTGAGAAGGGAGAAATCACAGGAAGGGTTTGGGTCTAGAGACACCCCCCCCTCCGAGAAATTTCCTCTAGTAAATCCATTTTTCTGGCTCTGAGTTGCAAACATTTTGCACATCTGTTCTTTCAATGACCGAGAGAAGGAGCAGGTGGAAGGATGATTCCCACTGAGCGGATGAGGACGCGGAGGCTCGGGCAGGGAGACATGCTTCATCGGGGAGAAGGAAGTCAGCATCAGAGCCTGGAGCTGCCCTCCGCCTTAGGACAGCCAGACCCGGGTTCCTTTCCCCATCCCTCAACACTCCACTCCCAGTCAGACCTCAAGGGGGGAATCTAGGAGCTGGTTCCCATGTGACCTGAGCATGCTCTGATTCAGTTTCAGAAGTGACTTGCAATGGATCCTCTTCTGTGCCGACCTGCCCTCCCTCATCCAGGAAGGCCCTCAGTACGTGCCCTGATTGATCTGGGACTCTGACCCCTCTCTGCCTTTGCTGCGCTTCCTGAGGACCGATCTGTAGGGTGGGAGGTGTGGGTTCTCCCTAAGCATCTTGGGAAGAGGCAGAGGGGAGGGAAAGGGGGGCTGGAGGGTGGGGTCCCAGGTGCATGCGCAGTAAACTGTTGGAATGGATGAGCAAGTGAGTAAGCAAGTGAACAGTCTTCATCTCTGACTCTACTTCGGCATGTCCTCCTCCTGGAAGCCCAGGTGACCTCTCCCCACCTTCTCACCCTCCCTGCAGCCCACCAGGCCTGGGAAAAGGGAAACTCCCCCAGCAGAGCCGACCTGTTCCTTACACTCCAGCTTCTAGGGCAGAGGGGGCTCAGTAAAGACATGACTTAGGGGTTGAGGGACTGGGCCTGTCTCTCCCCAGGTGCGGGCTGGTGGCCTTGTGGATGGCAGGCACACTGCTGGCACCGCCCAGCGGCATCCCCCTGGAGAGACTTGAGCAGATGGCCGTGGAGAGAGGCTACACGGCCCAGGGAGAGATGTTCTCCGGTGAGTTGGGTGCAGAAGGGTCTCAAGCCAGTCCGGTGAGGGGACCCTGTTCGAATCCTCAGCCCCTTCTGGAGGCAGGTTGTCTTCATTCCCAGCCCAGCTCTGCCCCCTTCCTGCTGGGTGGCTGGGGACAAGCAGCTTACCCTCTCTGTGCCTCATTTTCTGCATTTGTACAAAGAGGTGGCAGTTGCAGTGATGATTCGAGGTGCCGATCCCCAGTTAGCCCACGGCTTGCAGCCAGGCACACAGCGATCCTTCTGTCTCTGTCACCCCTGCAGTGGCCGACATGGGCAAGCTGGCCCGGGAGGCACTGGGCTGCCAGGCTGAGCAGCTCCATGGTGGCCTGGGCGGCCCCAACAGAGCCCGTGTCCTGCAGCACCTTGTCTCCGGACACCCCCTGCTCATCCCGTATCCCAGGGCCCAGAAGGGAGCTGGGTGGGGATGGAGAAGGGTGGGTCCCAGGACCACAGCGCAGCTTTGGCCTTAACCCCGCCCCCCGCCCCAGCTATGACGAGGACTTCAACCACGAGCCGTGTCAGAGGAGGGGCCACAAGGCCCACTGGGCGGTGAGCACAGGTGGGTCTCCCCTTCCACACTCCTGTGTGTTCACCCTGTTTGTCCTCCGCCCCCTCATCACCTGCCGCACTGTCAACCTGACACTGGCACTTCTCCTGTACTCAAGGTGGGGACCAGGGCTGGGCTGTCCCCGTCCCTACAGGATGCTTAGTAGGGACCTGGCAGGTGGTAGGTGCCTCAGTATCTGCCAGTCAGGGTTTCCACAAACAGAAGCTCAGAACACGGACTTTAGGATCAAACAGTTTGGGCTCCAGATCTGCTCCAGCCACTTCCGGGCTCTGTGACTCTGGGCTTCCCTTCCTCCGTCTGGAAATCGGGGTGACAGTGGGCAAAGCATATGAAAGTCTGACCGGCGCAAGCCTTGGCCTCACTCCGCTTGCCTGCAAGAAGGCTGATTTGCATGTTAGGTGGCCTGGAGGCTCCCCCATGCTGGGCCCGTGGCCTTGAGGGCTTCTCTGAGCCTTCTTTTACTAGACAGCAGGAAACCACTGGGTGACGATGCCTGCTCTGTTGAACAGCACCTCCCCTCCCTGTGCTACCGGGCTGTAGGAGGCAAGACTTAAAAGCCCGCAGCCCTGGAGCCAGACACCCTGGGTCCAGTCCCAGCTCAGCTGTGTGCCTGCCGCCGCACCGACTGCTACCCTGAAGGGCCGTGGGGGGAGCTTGGTGAAGCCCCGGTACCGAGTCCGCGCTCGCTCCCGCTCACAGCCTCCCTCTCCTCCCAGGGGTCCTGCTGGGTGTGCGGGCCGTGCCAAGCCTCGGCTACTCTGAGGACCCCGAGCTGCCAGGTCTGTTCCACCCAGTGCCCAACATGCCCCGCCAGCCACCAGCCCTGCCAGAGGAAGGCTCCCCAGGAGCCGTCTACCTTCTCTCCAAGCAGGGCAAGAGTTGGCATTACCAGCTGTGGGACTACGACCAGGTCCGGGACAGCAATCTACAGCTGACGGACTTCTCGCCGTCGCGGGCCGCCGATGGCCAGGTATACGTGGTGCCTGCAGGCGGGGTGCGGGCCGGCCTCTGTGGCCAGGCCCTGCTCCTCAGATCAGGGGACTCCAGCCACTAGCCTGCTGCAGCCCTGAGGCCGGCTGACAGGGCCCCCGGTCACAGCTTGGCTCTGTCACTATGTGAAGAGTGCTCCGGTTTCTCCCTTTGCAAGAGCCCGCCGAGTGTAGGCTGTGTTCCCGAAGACCTCCAGCCAGAGATCCTCTGCGCGGAGGCCCCCTCCCACCCGTCCGTCCGGTCCCAATCCCCTTCTCCCATGCCCACCCCCCCAGTATTGGGCTCCTGATGTGTGGCTGGGGTTCAAGCCAGGAGCCAACCAGACAAGCTCCCTCTCCAGGGAAGAGACTTGGCCACAGCTCGGCCCTCAGGTCCTGCCTGTCTGCCCCACCTCAGTGTTGCATCCAGCCATTTCTTACTGGTGACCAGCCTCCTTTAAAGCACCCGCCTCGGGGGGCACCTGGGTGGCTCAGTCATTAAGTGTCTGCCTTCGGCTCAGGTCGTGATTCCAGGTCCTGGGATCGAGCCCCGCATCGGGCTCCCTGCTCGGCGGGAAGCCTGCTTCTGAATCCTCTGCCACTCCCACTGCTTGTATTCCCTCTCTTGCTGTGTCTCTCTCTGTCAAATAAATAAATAAAGTCTTTAAAAAAAAAAAAAAAAAGCACCCGCCTCGGGCGCCTGGATGGCTCAGTTGGTTAAGCGACTGCCTTCGGCTCGGGTCATGATCCTGGAGTCCCGGGATCGAGTCCCACATTGGGCTCCCTGCTCAGCAGGGAGTCTGCTTCTCCCTCTGACCCTCTTGCCTCTCGTGCTATCACTCATTCTCTCTCTCGAATAAATAAATAAAATCTTTAAAATAAATAAATAAATAAATAAAGCACCCGCCTCTCTCTGGACACCTGAGGAGCCTCACCAGACCCCTTGCTGCCCCCCAGCGTCTGTTCCCACGGAGCCTAGGAAGCCTTGCCTTTCAAAATGCAAACCGGGTCTTAACCACTCGCCTCCAGAGAAGCTTCCAGCAGCTCCTAGTTGCTCACCGGATAGGGATTAAACTCTCCCGGCCCCAGCTCATCATGCTTTCTGCCGCTAGCCACACTGGCCTTCCAGGTTGCTAGAGTGCCCTATTCCCCTGCACCCAACTCTCTGCTAACGATAACTACTTAATTCTCTATTTTGGCTCATCTTCCTCAGGAAGACTCCCTAGCCCCAGGCACAGCCCCTCCCCCACCTCCTGTTCTGATTTAGAACCGAATGTGTTTCTATGTGCCAACCCCTTTGCTCATTTTAACTCGTCAAATTCTCCAGCCATGTAAGGAAGGGACTAGATCTTCCTCCATTTTACAGATGGAGAGACTGAGGCCTGGAGAAGTGTGGTCACGGGCCTGATGTCACATGGCTGGCAAGTGGCAGGGCCAGGATTCAAACCCGGCAGTTAGTAGCTATACAGATGTGGGTGGAAAAAGAGGTTATTGATTGAATGAGGACCTGTTGCTTCCACCCTGAAAGGGAGGAACAGGTCTGTCTTGGTCACCTATGTACCCAGTGCTGGGCAAAGGGTCTTATTTAGAGATGCTGTACAGTGTGGTGTCCCCCCCGCCCCGGCAAAGAGGAGCACCCCCGCCCTGGCCCCTCTGCACCAGAGCATCCCAGCCCTGACACCCTGGTTGGTGCTGTCTGGCGCACTGTCCTGGGAGGCCCTGAGGGTGCAGCTGGGAGCTGTCTGGGTCACTCGTCTGTTCCCCACATTGTCCAACACAGACCCAGGCACAAGAGCAGCTGCTGGGTGGATGCTGACTGGATGAACCGGCTTGCTTTGCATCCCAAGCCACTCACGATCCCATGCCCCCACCCAGCACTAATGGTGAAACTGGGGGCTTTGAGCCCACACACCCCAGATGCAAAAGAAAAAAGTTCATAAAGTTGACCGACCGTGCGATTTATTGGGGCGTCGTCATGGAGGGGAAAGCACATGAAGCGATTCTGCCTCCTGTTCGGAGCGCTGCCCCACCTAACAACTACCTCTCTCGGATAAATAAGTATAAAGGTGGTCAGTAGAAAAGGAGCCCACCTCCTCAGGCCTGGAAGACACAGTCAAGCTTCAGCTTAGGGAAGAGGGAGGTGCCTGGTTCCCAGCCTCTGAAGCCAAGAAGCCAGACGTACAGGTGCAGGAGGAAGGGGATGGAGGGGCATCACCCATACGTGGCGGTGCTAGGGTCTTTGGTTTGGACCAGGCTGCAAGCCCCAGGGCCACAGCCAGTGGCCCCACCTACCCTGCACCCCTGGAGGAAGGCAGCTCTGCTTCCCAAACCTGCTTTTCCAGGGCTGAAAGCCCTTCCCGCCACCAGCCGGCTAGGAACAAGGGAAAGGGGGTAAGGGGTGGGAGGAGGAAGTCCCAAGGCTGAGGCTGGTGCCCGAGGAACGAGGTGGTGCAGGTCACAGTGCCGGGCACGGGACGTGGCTGTGGTCTGGCTCTGCAGGCGGGCAGCAGAGTGCTTTCAGGAGCGGGGAGGATCCCAGGGGGCCAGGGGAGGGCAGGACAGGGAGAACTGGGTCCTGCCCAACGGCAGCAGCTCTCAGCCCAGCCCCATGGTGTCACACCCTCCCTGGAGTGTCAGCGCTGGAATGGCTCCTGGATGAACGGATGGGGCCAGAAAACTCTCCCAGGCAGACAGGTGGCTTCTGCCTTTGTGCACGGGTGAGGGCTAGTTCACCGGCGCACCAGTGATGAAGGTGACCTTCCCCTGGCTTCCAGGAGCCAGCCTGCAGCCGGGAGGAGGCTGACAAAGAGGCCGTGATTACTGTCACTCCTATGGCGAGAGGCACCATGTCACGCCTGTGCCCTGTGGCATCTGAATTGTGTTCTGTCAGGGCTCACGGTTTAGTTATGGTCTCCAGCAGCCCCTCGGAAACTTTCCTGGCTCGTCGGAGGACCCAGTCTGGTTCTGATTCACCGTGGGATGTGGCCATGTCACACCCCTGCTCCAGTCTTTAAAACCTCCCTATCATGAAAGGGCCGGACGCTACCTGGTCTCTGAGGCCCTTCGGACCTTCCACTCTGGTCTCACGTGGTGTACAACACAACCTCTCCCATCCCCGCGATCAGCCCCCCCCCCCGTGGCCAATCTCGGGGCACCGCCAGCCAGACGGGCACCATCCAATAAATAAACCTGGTAGTGGGCAAGTGGGTCAACCCTGGGCCAGCCCCTGAAGGAGGTGGATCAGGTTGTCCAGACCCCAGAGGTACCCATCCTCGCGGTTGCCCTCGGCCCAGGGCAGCCGGTGGCTGAGCGTCTGGTGGTCAGGCAGGGCCACTGTCTTGCCGAAGTCAATCATCCAGACCCTGGCCAGGCCAGTGTGGTCATGCACGAAGAGGAGGGAGCTGCCCACCACCTGCAGGGAAAGAGGTCGGAGGTTAGCAGGAGAGCGGGCATCGGCTCAGGCCCCCTCCCCAACAGGCAGCTGAGCAGGGGGCTTGACAGCATGAACTCCGGAGCCGGGCTGTCTGGGTTCAAATCCTGACTCTGCCTTTTTACCCTTTTTCACACTAGGGTACAAACTCAGGTGCCTGCAGGATCTCGCACGGTTCAAGAGCGCCCGATGCCTACCCCCGTGGAAGAAGCACTCAGCCCCCGCAGACTGCTGCTGGTGATGATGCTAAGAGCCCCCCTCCCCCTGCTGCTAAGGTCATTGGCAGCATTCCACGACCCACACACGCTCTCGAAGTGCCTTGCGGTGCTGGACACACAGCCCTCGGTAGATGCTGGTGTGGGGGGGGGGAGGGTTAAAATTAGAAATAGTACTTTCGTTGCCTTCATGGAACTCCAGGTGTGCAAGGCCCTCCCCTTTTCTAGTCGGGTTTCAAACCCCACTGCTCCCAGAGAACCCAGGTGACTGGGCAGGTGAGCAGGTGGCTGTCAGGAGAGGCAGTCGCTGCCCCACTCCATTTGGCTGTTGGCGTACGACGAGCAGCCCAGCGGGGGCCACGTCTCCCAGTGGGCCCGGGAAACTGGATGTCCCGACTCGGGTGTCAAGTCTTATGTTTTAGATGCTGGCAACTCATTTTTTAAAATGCTAAGTCACCGGGTGGGTGAAACCGAACAGGAGCACAGAAGAGATGGGGTCCCCGGGCCTCCTCTTCGGGACTTGGCGCGTAGAGCCCAAGGGCAGAGACGAGAACCGTGAGGGTGCCATTTCATGGTAATGAACAGTATAGTCCCAGCTGGGGCATACTGAGGGTGGACCACGGGCCGCCATGTATGGGCCTTCCGTGTATTAACCCGCCTTATCCTCACCCCGCCCAGGAGGCAGGGGCTCTGCTAGTCCATCCTGCCTGTTGGGAGACAGGTCCCAGGCTCAGGGGGCTGGGGAGTGCAGACCCAGGTTCGAACCCAGAGGCCCAACTCCCAGATCAGGGATCTACGGGAAGTTGGGGACGCCGCAAAAGAGAAGTGAGGGGGACCTGAGCAGGGGTGGTGGAAGAGCTTGGAGAGAGGAGGGAGAGGACACCCACACGCAGTGAGGTCACCACTTCACAGACTTCCTGCGACAGCCCAGAGAAATGAATGTTTCCAAAGAGACACAGGCTGCAGACGGGGTGAGAGCCACCGAACAGGAAGGCAGACACGGGTAACTGGAAATAATTATGATTACAAAGTAATCTTAAGAGCAAGAAGTTAGGGCACCTGGGTGGCTCGGTCGGTTAGGTGTCTGCCTTCGGCTCAGGTTGTGATCCCAGGGTCGTGGGATCGAGCCCGACTTCAGGCTCCCTGCTCCGTGGGAAGACTGCTTCTCCCTCTCCCTCTGCCTGCCGCTCCCCCTGCTCATGCTCTCTCTCTCAAATAAATAAATAAAAAACCATTGTTTTTCCCTGTGTTAGGAGGAAGCTGAGGCCCTAGAGGGTAAGGCGCATGCCCAGTGACAAACAGCCTTCATTGCAGACCCCCTGGCTCGAGCCCATGTTCTGGATTATCCCATCTCCCTAAAACCCACTCTGCTGCCTACCCTAAAAAGCAAACCCCAAAACATGGGGTTCCTCTTAATAGCTTTGCCCTTTAACTCTGTCAGCGGTTTCTCTTCGGTGCCACCCGGATGCTGACGCCCCCCACCCCACCCCACCCCCACACAGGGCCTTCCGCTCCCACGGCAGCTGGGGCTCGCACCTCATGGGTCTTGAAGAAGGGGGAGTTCTCCAGAGCCTCTCGGAGTTCTTCCAGGCGAGCCACATACTTTCTCTGTGTGGGAGGGAGCACTTCTTGGTTAGCACAGGGACTCTTTGGGTCCTTCCCCGCCTCGAGAACGGACATCCTATACCCCCAAAGGAGCGGGCAGAACCCTGCCAGGATGGGATCAGGGGAGCCGCAGGGAAAATGGGAGGTGGGCGGAGGCTTGCATGCCTCTGGGTGGCACAGAGCGGAGTATGGTTGGGACATGACATGAATATCTACAATTCCTAGCAGCAACTCCAACCAAGAGGTGGAGTCTGAGTCCCTTTAACCTCGGCTTGGTCAGAGGACTTGCTCTGGCCAATAAAACGGGGCAGAAATGATGGTGGCCATTCCGGGCCATCGAGACATCTTGCATTTTCACTTGTTCTCTGGGCCACCTGCTTCCACCCAAGAACGCGCCCAGGCTCGCCTCCTGAAGCGTGAAAGACAAGTGGCCAAGTCGTGAGCCGAGACAGTGAGCCCATCACCAGACATTTGAGCAGGACCCTCCTGGTCCAGCCAGCTCCGGCCAAGCCACCAGCTGACCACAGATGGTAAGCAACACAGGCCAGTATCGGCCAGCCTGGGCCTACAGCAGAAGACCATTGCCTTAGGAGCAATGATGACGGCAATGGTCTCAAGCTGCTAAATTCGGGGCACGGGTGTCCCACTCACCAGGACTCCATGGTTCCCGTCCACAAAGTCCTCCAACACCTTTGTCACCTGCTCCAGCTCCTGGGTCTTCTTGAAATTGGTGTTGCAGGTCCCACTGGCCTTCTGCAGCGCAAAGGCACAGTGTCATACCTTTTCCTTCACGTGCCTGACCCCAAGCAGCCTCAGGCACCTCCTGGGACCACCTGCTTGTCCCCGAGCCCCTGGCTGTTCAGGAGGAGGAGCCAGCCCACCTGCCAGCCCAGCTCCACCCAGCCCCACGGCACACTCCTGGGCCACCGGTCCTTCCCAGGCTAACCTTGAAGAACCCCCTGGTTGAGCCAGTCTAGCCAAGTGGACTTTGGAGAGGGGTGAGTCTGGCTTTGAACAGTGACTCGGCCACTTCCTAGCTGGCGGCCTTAAGCCACTTTCCCGGCCTCAGCCTCAGTTCCCACATCTGGAAAATTGGGGTTGTGTTGATATTTACCACCTAAAGCTGGCATAAGGATTAGAGGAGACTGGATGTGTAGGATGCATGGCACAGTGCCTGGCACGCAGTTAAGGATGCACTCCATAAATGAGACTAATGTTGTTGTTTTTTTTTATGTCTGAGAGGGGCACAGAGAAGCCACCTGAGTCATTCTGCCACACTGCACCAGGTGCCATGGGTGCTGATAACACAGAGGTAACAGGACAGACACACAGTCGGGTGAAGGAGGCAGGTATGGAATACGATCATCACAAAGGGAAATAAGAATAATGAGGAAGTAAAGAGAGGGCCCTGATCTGGCAGGATAGAAATCAAGGTGGGCTTCCTGGAGGAAGTGAAATGTGAAAGGAGACAGGAGGGGCGCCTGGGTGGCTCAGTCTATTGAGCATCTGAAATCCTGCTGGGGTCATGATCCCAGAGTTCTAGGATCCAGCCCCTCATCGGACTCCCTGCTCAGTGGGGAGTCTGCTTCTTCCTCTACCCCTCCCCCTGGCTCGTGATCTCTCTCTCTCTCACTCTAGCTCAAATAAATAAATAAAATCCTTAAAAATAAAAAATAGGGGTGCCTGGGTGACTCAGATGGTTAAGCATCTGCCTTCGGCTCGGGTCATGATCTCTGGGTCCTGGGATCAAGCCCCGTGTCAGGCTCCCTGCTCCGCAGCGGGTCTGCTTCTCCCTCTCTCTCTGCGCCTCCCCGCCATGCTCTCTCTCTCTCTCTCTCTCAAATGAGTTAAATAAATAATAAAAGGAGACAGGAAAACAACTGGGAGTCAATCAGGGGGAAGTAGGGGGAAGAGCACGTGCAGAGGTCCTGTGGCAGGAAAGAGCAGGACTCTTTCAAGCAAATGAAAGTGCTTCACTGTGGCCTAAAGGTAGACACGGAGGAAGAGAGTGGGGAGAGATGAGGCTAGACCCTGGAGGGCCCTCTAGGCCAGGGAAATTCTCTCGAGAGGACTAGGGAGCCATGGAAGGGTTTTGAATAGGAGAATGACAGTCAGATGTACAAATGAGAAAGACAGCTCAGGCAAGGCCGTGGGGAAATGGGTGCTCTCATGTATCGTTGGTGGGGTGCACGAGGGTCCCGCTCCTGGGAAAGGAGTTTGACAACCTCTAGCAAAATCCCCAGGGCGTCTAATCTTCGACACTGTCCTCCTGCTTCTGGGAACCTCGTCTACAGCAAACCTACCCACTGGCAAAGGGTCTTGTGCACAGAGTGATCACTGAGGCACTGTTTACAATCGCAAAAAGTGGAAACCCAGGTGGCCATCTGTAGGGGACTGTGTCTCTCCCAGAGAGAGCTATTACATCCAGAGAAAGACAGGAAGGGAGGAAGGGAGGAAGGAAGGAAGGCAGGCAGCTTTCTATGGAATGATATGGAAAACTCTCCAGGGCTATGCTTCCTTTTGTGTAAGAGTGGGAGGAGGAAAATTTAGGATATGCAACTGCATTTGTTTGTATTTGCAGGAAGAAACAGAAAAACCGTAAGGTGGTTCTCCAGGAGCCGGCAGGGGTGGAGGGAAGGACAGCAGCCGGGTTAGGAGTGAGATTTCCCCTCTATACCCTTTTATATTATTTTGATTTTTGAACTGTGTGAATACCTCTTCAACCAATTAGGTTTACTCTGCAAAAAAAGGAGAGAAAGAAGGATGGAGAGAAAGAAAAAATGAAAATCTTTCCCCATATGGGGGAAAAAGGATCCTTCCAGCTACCATGTTGGATGAGGATCAGAGGGGGTGTGACAAGGACCCAGGAGCCCAGGGAGGCTAGGGCAGGAGAGATGTGCGGACTAGGGCAGGGCCGTAGGGAGGGGAGCAGACAGAATCAGGAGCTACTCAGGGAGACAGATAAACAAAACTTGGTCACTGACAGGGGGGAGAAAGAAGCAGGACTTCCCCGAGCCCCTGTCTGTTCATCCTCCACAGTCTCCTGCTCTTTCTCCACATCCTGCTTCTTCCCAGTTTTCCCTGACACCCATGTTCCCCAAGAGGCCCTGCCTCTGATCTAGCGCTCAGCCCTCTGGCAACAGGCTAGCAGCTCCTGGCCCTCACCTTGATGCCCTCAATCCGGAAGCCCAGGGTGGAGGTCGAGCTCACAGTCTCCCTCCACTGCATGTAGCGGGGCTTGGTGACAGCACCCTGAGCATGTTCCTCAGGGGTGGGGGCCCTGGGGTCCACAGCCACCATCTTCTCATACATGTCCTTCCGGGGCCGGGGCCTTTCTCGGGCCTTCACTAGCTCCTCCTCCAGGTAGGTCCTGGGACACAGAGGACGTGACAAAGAAAACTATGAAGAACAAACATGGAGGACATACTCTCTGATATCAAGACAAGTTATAAACCCACAACATGGCACAAGAATAGACAATTAGATCTATGGACCGGAACAGAGTCTAAAAACAGACACACGTGTGTACATTCACCCAAACTATGACAAAGAAGGCCCAACAATTCAGTGGGTAAAGGGAAGTCTTCTCAATAAATGGTGCTGGGTCAATAGGACTGCCATATTGAGGTGGGGGGGTGGCTTCCATCCCTACCTCACACCATGTATAAAAATTAATTCTAGATGGATTGCAAATCTAGATGTGAAAATTAAACCAATAAAGCTTGCAGAAGAAAACATAGGAGATCACACAATCTTGGAGTAGGCAGATTTCTTAAACACAAAGCCACTAATCAGAATGAAAAATGACACACTGGCCTAAATTAAAAGTGCTTCTGTTGGGGCGCCTGGGTGGCTCAGATGGTTGAGCGTCTGCCTTCGGCTCAGGTCATGATCCCAGGGTCCTGGGATTGAGCCCCACATCGGGCTCCTGGCTCAGTGGGGAGCCTGCTTCTCCCTCTGCCTCTCTCCCTGCTCATGCTCTCTCTCTCTCTGTCTCTGTGTCTCAAATGAATAAAAAAAAAAAAAAAAAACTTAAAAAAAGAAAAGTGCTTCTGTTTGTCAAAGGAAAACTATTAAGAGAGTGAAATGAGGGACGCCTGGGTGGCCCAGTGGGTTGAGCATCCCCTGACCCTTCACTGCTGCCCCTCAACCTACCTGCTGCCCATCTTGCAGTCCATGATGGAGGGGCCCTCGAAATCTGCCAGGAGATCTTCCATCTGGTTGAAGGCCTGGCCATCCCGCTGCACCATGCCATAGTAGGTGGGCACGAAAGGCCGCAGGGGGTCACTCATCAGCTGCTCCAGGCTGTGCTGCTCACACTGACAGAAGCGCTTTAGGATGCGACCATCCTCTCCTGCCTGGAAGTTCCCTACGAGCAGCACAGTCAACAAGAGGGTCAGCCAGAGAATCGTCTCATCTCCCAGATGCATCAGATCCTGGCTGCCCTCATCTGGCCTGACCCTTCTGAAAGGCTTTCTCTCCCTCCCTGCAACTCTCACAGTCTTGGCCACGATATGGAAAGGGCAGGACCTGCTGCTGCTCCTTGTCCAGAGTCCTGCTCATAGCACGTTGTGTCCTCCTTTGTCTTATCATTTTAGATTGTGAGCTCATGATCGGCTGTGGGAATTTTTGTGCGACCTGAGTTGAGAGCATGATGCTCCAGAGCAGATTTGCATTTGGTTTGGGGCGCCAAGGTGGCTCAGTCAGTGAAGCGTCTGCCTTCGGCTCGGGTCATGATCTCAGGGTCCTGGGATCGAGCCCCACATCGGGATCGCTGCTCAGCAGCGAATCTGCTTCTCCCTCTCCTCCCTGCTCCTGCGCTCTCTCTCTTGCTATCTCTGTCTCCGTCTCTCCAGTAAATAAATAAAATCTTAAAAAAAAAAATTGCATTTGCTTCTGCCTGGAGTCCCACAGTACTAACGCCTGGGGCCAATTTAAGTTAACTGACAAATCTGGCATTTCCTGGACCTGCAGACTGTGTAGATTAGAATTACGAATTCTTATTAGGGCAAATTGTATTTTCAGATTATATTCTCCAAAGATGGCTGCAACAATAGCTCCTGCCCCAGGGGTTCTTCTAGAATTTCACCACTCCCCATCAAGAAGTGGAATCTAATTCTTCTTCTCCCCTTGAATCTGGGAGGGCTGATGACAGAAGCAACACTGGGGTTTTAGAGTCTAGGTCACAAGAGGAGATGTGATTTCCACTGTGTTGGCAGAGATGCTTGCCTTTGCAGTCCTGAGCAGCCCCGGAAGAAAGCAGACTAGTCTGAGGCCACCATACTGTGAGGAAGCCCAAGCAGGGTCAGAGAGGCCACACAGAGGCGGCCCCGGCCGAGAGCCTGCCAAGAACTGATCGCGAGGCACGCGAGTGAATGAATCTCAAAAGTTTCCACCTTGCAGCGTTCAAAAGAGTTGTCCTAGCTGAGTTCCCAGATACCATGGCGCATCCCTGCCATGCCCTGTCTGGATTCTTGACCCCAAACCTGTGAGTGTAATAAAATGGTCCTTTTATTCCGCTAAGTTTTCTTTTAACCACCACTAATTTTTTAAGTTTTTTTTGGTATTTTAACTCAGCTAGAGTAATGAGAACGCACAGAGATGGCAGCCCTGGGGCGGGGGGCCTGGCTTTTCAATGACTCAGATCTAGGGACGAACAAGGTAGGTAAGTTCCCTTCTTGTCATCTTTTGCCGGTGGACCCACCTAATTTGTCTAGTCCCCACCAGTAGCCTTTTTTGTAAATAAAGTTTTTTCTTTTTTTAAGATTTTATTTATTTATCTGACAGAGAAAGAGACAACGAGAGAGGGAACACAAGCAGGGGAAGTAGGAGAGGGAGAAACAGGCTTCCCACTGAGCAGGGAGCCTGACGCGGGGCTCGATCCCAGGACCCTGGGATCATGACCTGAGCCGAAGGCAGGCACCCAACAACTGAGCCACCCAGGTGCCCCGTAAATAAAGTTTTATTGGAATACAGACACACTTGTGTGTTTATGTATTATCTATGGCTGCTTTCATGCTAGAACAACAGAGTTGAGTAGTTGTGACAGGGACCATACGGCCCACAAAACCCAGAATGTTGATTATCTAGCCCTTTACAGAAAATGCTATGTGCTGGGCATTGTGCTACCATGTGCCACAGACATCATGCGAGGAGGGCCTGGGGAAAACCATTAGAGCTGCTGTTTGAGGGCCTACTATACTCTGGACATGAGGAGAGAACAAGGAATGATTATTTCCATTAATGAGGGGCCCGTGTCTCAATCTTCATAGACATTTTGGTTTATCATTATTTTTTAAAATATTTTATTTTTATTTTAAGCAGGCTCCACGCCTAACATGGGGCTTGAACTCACAACCCTGAGATTAAGAGGCGCATGCTCTACCGACTGAGCCAGCCAGGTAGCCCCGTTCATATACATTTTTATTTTAACCCTTCGGTGAAGCCTGCAAGGGAGGTATGATTATCTCCATATTACAGATGAGAAAACCAAGGCCCAGTGAGAGAAAGTAACTGGCCCAGGATCCCCCATAAAGAAAGTGCAGAATGAGGATTTGAGCCCAGGACCATTTTTTGCCCAGGGTTGAGGATTTGCCCCCCGTTCCCCCGGCACTGAGACAATAGGGAACAGCCCTCAGCCCTGATGTACAGATGGCCCGGCCAAGGCCTGAGCATGTCCCATAACAGCCTCATGAGGTGGAGACTGTCCTTAAGCCCATTTGACAGATGGGGCAACCTGAACTACAGAGAATGTCTCTGGAGCTTTCTTTCCCCAGCCCAGGTGTCTGCCCAGCCTGTCTGCCCCCTGCTGTCCCCCGCACCCCCGCTCTCACCAGCGTGTCCCGACAGCTGGACCCAAGGGTAGTGTTTTCGGAAGGAGACCACAAAGGGCGAATATTTCAGAACCGTCTTCAGCTTCTTCCATGGTTTGTTCTGTGTGAGGCAGAGCAGGGTGGGGTCAGTGCCAAGGCTGGGGAGGGAAGGGGGTGGGGTGTTGCACTGAGGGGAACCAGGTGGACTAGGGGTCTTTCCAGGGCGAGGGGGTTTCCTGGGATCGCTGCTCCCAAGCTCACCAAGGTGAGCAAAGCCCACTACTTCAGCCATGTCGAGATCCCCCAAAGGCCCCAGCAAAGGTGGGGAAGAGTCTGTCCATTTTTCTCTGTCCTTCTCAAAGGAGGAAAAATAGGCCAGGTCTTGCTGCAGTAACAAGCAGCCCCCCAGGTCTTCCCCTCCACAGGCACACACCAAACACCTGGAAACCTCACTTCCGTCCCAAAACCAAGTCAGACCTTCTGGAGAAGGTGATAGAGGTAGGAGTTGATGAGCGGAGGCTGAACCACAGATTAAGACAGAAACAGAAGCAGATGACAAGGTGACGACAGTGACAGAGAGATGGGCACAGGAGATGGAGACTGGGACAGTCATGAGAGCTGCTCACCAAATGGCTCCAGCCCCTCCCTGTTCCAGGGACATCCCTGCCATCTTGACCTTAGGTTACTGACTTGCTTTGGCCAGTGAAATGCGAGCAGAAGCGTGAAAGCCAGTGCGTGATTCTCTGTGTCCTCTGTCCTGCTGTAGGAGGGGGTGGGGAGTGTGGAAAAAGAAATAGAAGCTTCTTCAGGCTGGGCCTTGAGTGAAGACAGCATGAAGCAGAGCTCCCTCACCCACCAGTGGCTCATGGTCCATGTGCAGTATGAACAAAAATAATCGCGTGTTGTTCCAAGTCACTAAGTTTGGGGGTTGTTTGTTACTACAGCAAACCCTGACCTAGCCTGACTAAGACAGAGACAGGGTTAGCAAAAGACAAAGAAAGAAAATAATAGAAAGACAGAAAGGGAGACACAGATTCAAAGTAATGCCAGGAAAGAAAAAGATAAGTAGAAGCAAAGAAAGAGAGAGAACAAGCGACAGAAAACAGTAAAGCAAACTGAAAACAAAGATTTAGTTGTAGCAGGTTGACTCAGTCAAGAGGTTCTTGAGACCAGGTCAGCGTCTGATTCACATGCACAGCACGCGTGCACACACACGAATACATTCTCTGCTCCAAGCACATCGCGGGCCCTTAGGCAGGTATTAGGAGAAGGGGCCCTCTCCAGAGAAGGAAGTTGTGTGGCCCATCCCCCCACTACCCTGGGGTCAAAGCCATGTTCTCTCCCATGTGCTCAGAGCCCAGCTACCTAGCAGACATCTAATTGATGGTGGGAAGGTCAAGCAGACACAGGGTGTTGGGACTGCAGGATTCAGGAAAGCCTATTCCTTCCACCCTCCAGCTGCCAGGCGGGGAGAGGAGGTGATTAATAAAGGTTCCTGTTTACTAAGCACCTGGAACATTCCAGGCACAATGACAAAGACTCGGTGAGCCATAACCTACTTAATCCTAAAAACACAACCCCAGGAGGATTGTTGCCTCTGTGTTACAGAGGAAACAGAGGCTCAGAGAGATGAAGTCACTTGTCTAAGTCACACAGCACAGTGCTGGGGTTCTAACTCGGAACCCACTGCCCTGGGCTTACATGCTATACCCCCTGCTGGACTATGAACTCTGAAGGCAGGGATTGGGGTTATCATGGTTATGCCTGTGTCCCCAGCCCATGGCCTAGCACACCATAGCTGCGCCAAAAACATTGCTTGGATTGAAGAAGGTTAGTTGTAACGGTCTTTTATCATTAAGCAGATTCAGTATCTTATCTCTTTCCTAGACCTGATGGTTAATCTGGGCTTTCTTAGATGGTTTCACGATGGTCTCCTCTCCCATGCCCCCTCCTCCAGGAAGCCCTCTCTGATACCCTAGGTGCGGCCAATCACACACACCTTCACCCCCACCATGGTCTCCTACAACACTCGGTTTCCCCCATACCAGCCCTGACCTCTCTGTATGTTAATGGGTCTGTCTTCTCTACTGGCCTGGGAGCCCCATGAGGGCAATGTCTCAGTCACTGCTGTGTCCCCAGAAAAGCCAACACGGGGGGGGGACACATAATAGAGGCTCAGGGACTGTTGGTTGTCTGATTAGGAGGACAGGATGGATGTGAGAAGGAAGGGAAAGGGGGAGGAAAGGAAGAAAGTAGTAGGACTTTAAGGTCGGATGGGATTTCAAAATTAAGTGAGAAGGAAGCAAGGGTTTGTTTTCTGGGCAGCAGGAACAACGGGGGGAGGCAGGATGGTGTGCCCTTGGGCTTCATGGCGGCGGAGGTGGTCAGGAGGGGAGCAGGGAAGCTGAACATGGGAAGCAGCCTGGAGACAGGAAGCTCTGAACACTGGACTGAATTTCTGGTGGCTATCTGGAAGGCCCTGGGGAGCCATGGGACGCACTGAAAGCAGGGAAGTTTCAAAAGTTGATCAGAAGTGGGTCTTGGAGGCAGATTCTGGAAGGATGAAGAAAAACTGGAGACAGGGAGGTCTGGGAGGAAAGCAAGTGAGGGACGGATCCACCCATACACCCCTGAGGTTGAAGTAACTGGGTTTTAAACTCAGCCAGAACGGAGTTAGAATCCTGGCTCCGACCAGGCTTGACCGACCCTAAGCAAGTGACCAAACCTCTCTAAACCGGTTTCCTCATCTATAAAAAGGACATGATAATAATCCCAATCTCATAGCGCTGTTATGAGGATTTCGGGTTAACACATATACGACACTTAGAAAAGTGCCTAGTACTATTCCAAGGGTTTGAATCCCAGCTCTGTGTCTTCCAAAGTGCGTGACCTTGGACAAGTGTCATGACCTGTCTGGGTCTCAGTTTCCTCATCTATAAAATGGGAATAATAATAGTATCTACCTCATAGGGCTGCCATGAGGATTAAATGAGTTAATATGAGCGAGGAGCTTAGTACAGAGCTGGGTATAAGCTGCTTTTTTTTTTTTTTTCCATTCCCTTCCAGATCAGCTGTTCTGAGATGCCAAGAATGTGAGAGAGTAGGTGGAGCAAACAGCTAAGGCAGAAAGACCACAGGGTCAGCTCCTTCGCTCTGGCACAGGCAGGTTGAGGCAGGTCTGCCTCTACCTGTGGCCACATGTGTAAGCATGTTCCTAAGGGAGCCATGTAGGGTGAAGGGGGCTCAGGGCCGACTCCGGCCAGAGGCCCCAGGAGAATGGGAGGACCCAGGAGGCCAACCCACTCGAGGCTCTCACACCTGCCTGGGTGCTGACCCTCCCTGAACCTGCCCTGCCCAGCCCTCCTGATTCACCAGGGAAGAACCGCACCCAAGCTGGGGTTGAGGGTACAGGATGTAAACAAGGGTCTGCAGGGGGCCCCCTGGAGAACCGGGGGGCAATGGGGAGACCAGAAGGCCCCTGGTCAAGCTGGGGGTCCTTAGCATTTGGGGCTCACACAGCCCTTTGAGAATCTGATAAAAGCTGGGGGGCTCACTCCCTACAAAAGTGAATGGCTAAAGGGTGGTAAAGGTTCATGACCCTTGAAGACAGCCGCAGGCCCTAGGCTAAAAACTGGGGGTAAAAAGTGCACCCTTTCTGTCCTCCTATACTAGAGCTCTCCAGATTCTGAGGTTACATACTTTCTAGAAGATCCGACAGAAGTCAGACACACTCACTGCAAAAATATACGTGTATATGCCCACAGACTCACATGATCACCCAATTTCAGGAGTTCCTGGGCACCATTAAGTCAGCCAGTAGCTGTCTATTTTAGACCCCAGGACCGGAGGCAGTCAGGGAGGAGAAAAGGAAAGGATTAGGAGGGTGCCGGGAGTGGGCTGGTAACCTGGCTGTCAGAGGGAGGAGGTCGGCAGAGGGAAGAGGTACCTGGAGATGAAACTGTTGGTAGTGCTAGAGAACTTCTCAAACCAAAGGCAGGGGGAATGGGATAAGGGGCCTGGGGGGATGTGGCTCAAGGGCAGGACGGTTCCCACTCACCCCAGACCTGTCTTCAGGGTCGCTGGCACCTCTGCCCCCGGCCACCACATCATCCTCAGACTCGTCGAAAGAAGAGGCAGAGGAGAAGCCGCCACTGCCCCCCTCAGCCCGGGAGGGGGGTCCCATCTCCATTGGCTGAGCCTCAGGCTCAGGTGTTTCAGGAGTGATGATGAGGCGGGGCACAGGAGTCAGGGAGCTACACTCCAGGTGAGAGTATAGGTGAGTCCCCAACTCCCCAGCTTCTGGTTCCTCTAACGGGCCATCCTGCTGGGACTCCCCCAAAAAACAGTCTGTCCCAGGTTCTGTCTGGGGTCCATGAGTATCTTGTGTCTGGGGACCATCAGTGCCAGGCCATGTCCAGGAGCCAACAGTATCTTGCCATGTTGGGAAACCATCAGTGCCAACCTGTTCCCAGGCTGTTTTCGTATCCTGTTGTATCTGGGAGCCATCACCACTTGGCTCTGTTGAGGAACCAGCCCCCTCTGGCTGAGTCCGGAGGCTGGACCTGTTTTTATGGGTCCAGAGGTTATCAGCCCAGGTCGTGGTCCTCTCTGGTTGGGTCTGTGACCCATGTATTTCTATCTCTGTCCAGGGCCCATCAACTCCGGGCTGCGTCCGGAGGTTGGCCCTCTCTGGCTGAGACTGGAGGTCAGACCTGTATGGACCAGTCCAAAACCCATCCGTCCCAGTTTCCGTCCAGGGACCGGCTGTCTCCAGCTCTGACCAGTGGCTGCTCTTTTCTGGACCTGTCCGGAGGCTGGATATGTCTGGCTCCGTCTTTTGGCCGCGCCGCTCTGTCTCCGCTCCGAGGCCGGCTGCTTCAGGCTCAACCTGTCCGTTTGTCCCCGGCTCAGGCCCGAGGCCGACCCTCTCGGGCTCGGTGTGGAGGCTGGACCCCTCGGGCCGGGCCAGGGGCCCGCCCCCGTCCGGCCGCCCCGCCGGGCCCCCTGCGCCGGGCCCAGGTCGCTGCTGCCCTGGCTGCCGCCGCCGCCCCCCTCGCGGCGCCTCCAGCCCCATGCGGGCCGCTCCCGGCAGCGCCCCGGCCTCTGCCTCGCTCAGGCTCCCCCGGCACGGGCAGCGCCTCATGCCCGCTCCCTAGGTCCGGGCTTCGATCCGACCCGTCCCCTCCTGCCCCTTTAAATCCCGCGAGGGGTGTGGCTGGGGGGCCCCGACTTGCGGGTTCCGGCCCGCGGAGTCCTGCCCTCCCAGCCACGCAGGGGTTAACCGATACTCTGCCTGCCCCCCCAACCGGGAAAGCCCCAAAGCCCCGCCCCGGACGTGACGCAAGGGGGATGGGCCTTGCCTGGTCCCGTCCGCTTCTGTTGGAGGAGGTGGGCTCCGAGCTCTCGAAGCTGGTCCGGGTTGGGTGTAAGCCTCCGGTGTCCTGGCTGCGGGCCAGTGGGGCCCTTTCCTAGACCCCCCGCAATTAATCCGACCTTCCTACACCCTCGAGTGACCAGTTTAGCCTCCCTATAAGTCCTCGATGACGAGTCCAGCAGCGCGCTCGTTCTTCAGACGGAGCAGGGACTGACTCAAAGACTTGGAAATCCTACCGACCTGGGTTCAAGACCCGCCTCTACCACTTACTCGCGGTGTTACCTGCAGTGTGTGACTGACTTTATCCCTCCCTCCTGCTCCAGCCCCGGGCTCAATTTTCTCACCTGCAAAATGAGGATACATAATGTCATTTTATTGTTTCAGAAAATGTGTGTTCGATGCCACAAGAGCCAAGCATTTTTACCAACAGGGATATTGAGGCCCAGAGCCGTGAAAGAATTTGTCTAAAGGCAAAGTGAGGTTAGATGAGGGGCAAGCCAGGAACTTAACTCTGAAGCTAGGATGGCTGGCTTAAAATGTTGGCTCCAGCACTCACTTCTGGGATGCTCTTTCCCTGCAGACCTGTCTCCTCTGAGCCTCTGTTTTCTCATCTATAAAAAGGGGGTAGTGGGGGATAATTTCCTCACAGGACTGTTATGGGAGTTTTTATTAATTGGCAACAGCATTTACATTTGCGTACTTGCTTTGTGTCAGGTGCTGTACTTACCAGTTTATACCCCAACTCTTGTGAGGTAGGGATCATCATCATTCCCTTGCTCAAACAGAAAAACAGGCACAGAAAGACAAAGCAGTGAGTCCCAAGATCATAAATCTAAGTTGTATAGATTTGAACTCAGGCCCAATTAATCTAAGTTTGGGCTTTTTGTCCCTACAGGATGATGTAACTTGCTTTTGAGGCTGGGGGTGTGAGAGAAAGAGCCAGAAGTTGAGAGTATTTTCTCTAAATCGGATCATGTCCTCCTCTGCTCAGAACCCTCCATGGTTGGGGCGCCTGGGTGGCTCAGTCGTTAAGTGTCTGCCTTCAGCTCAGGTCGTGATCCCAGAGTCCTGGGATTGAGCCCCGCATCGGGCTCCCTGCTCAGCGGGAAGCCTGCTTCTCCCTCTCCCACTCCCCCTGCTTGTGTTCCCTCTCTCGCTGTGTCTCTCTCTGTCAAAAAAAAAAAAAAAAAAAATCTTAAAAAAATAAATAAAGAACCCTCCATGGGTCCCATCCCACAGAGTAAAAGCCATAGTCTTCTCTGTGACTCACTATCCCCTAAGTGATCTGCCTCTAGTTACATCCCAGATCTCCTCTCTGTCTTTCCCCCTCACTCACTATGCCCATCGGCCTCTTTGCTATTTCTCTGAGATATTTTCCACCACAGGGCCTTTGCACTGGTTGTTCTCTCTGCCTGGAATGTTTTTTCTTCCGATATTCCAATAGCTCCCTCCCTTGCCTCTTTCAGTTGTTTGTTCAAATGTTACCTCCTCAGCTACCGCCTCAGCAAGGTCTTCCCTGACCACTCAAAATCTGTTTAAACTCAAAATCTCTCTACTCCTTGCCCCCCTTCCCTGGTTTATTTTTCTCTTTAACACATGTCGCCTTATGAAATATACTTATTTATTTTGTTTATTTTGCCCCTCATTGGAAGCCAGCACCAAGAGAGGAATATTTTTGCCTGGATTATTACTCCTTGCTGTGTCCCCTAGAAAAGCTTAGAAAAGTACATGATAAGTGCTTAGTAGGAAATTTGGGAAGAATGACTTTTCCATAAGAAATTTCTCTCATGTATAGAGCTCTTGTTCTGTACCGGGTCCTGTGCCAAGCTCATTACAGACACTATTTCACTGTACCTCTTTCTCTAACACTGAGCAAGACAGGATGCCACAGCCCCATTTTACAGATGGCACACTGAGGCTAAGAAATCTGCCAGCCTCTAGCCTTTGCTTGTAGCCTTTGATTTGACCTCATAAAGGGGAAGCATGTGGCACCGGGCTTGGCACTATCAGCCACGGTCTTGTAGGGTTAATTATTGTCATAGGTGCTTTTTATATAGTTTTGCCCCCAAGGGTGAGCTGTCACCCAGCTCCTGAGTCAAACCCTTACGTCTGGAGGGTGACAGGGGGTGTTTTATCCCGAAATTGAGTCATCTGGGGTTGGGCCATGGGCACAGCCCCAGGGCTCTAAAGTGAGTCATCTCTTCACAGACCAGTGAGAAATCATAGCAGGAGCCCCCTAACAAATCATACAGGCTGGGAAGTACAGAGAGTTGGGGCTCTTTTGAGGTCATAGCACTGGGACAGAGACAGAGAGTTCTGATTTCCAACAAAAGGGGTTAGACAGTGAGGGGAGGGGGGAGGTTCTGTAAGGAAAGCGTCACATCCCTCCTTCTCCCAGCGGTGGGAGAGATGCCCCAGCCAGCTGCTTCTATTCCAGACTGTGAGGAGGGGTGAGTCAGCCTGTTGTGGGGGGAGCAGGGTTTAGGCTTGCCTGCCCTCCCCCCGGCCCCCAAACACACACCCAGATAGGCTGGGAGCTGGTTTTCTGGGATGCCAGGGCTCCTGACTCAGCACTGGGAATCTTGGCTGAGTGTGTTCTGGGAAATGTCAGGCCTACAGGAAACAGAGGGCTCCCACTCACCCTATCCCGCAGGTGGGCGGGGAGCAGAGAGAACAGGGACCCAGTGTGCAAGGGGCTGAGTGTGAGGAGGTTTATGTACACAGGAGAGTTGAGAGTATGAGAGGGAGACAGTTGGCAAACAAGGCATGGGGGTTTATATGTGCAAGGGAAGAAGCTGTGTGCCAGGATGTGGGTGTTTGAAGCAGAGGGCTGATGTGCAAAGGGGCTCCCAGGGCAAGGGAAATGTTTGCTGGGAAGATGTGTGTTCAAAGGAGAGAGGTCCAGTCTGCTGGGGATAGAAATAAGAAAGCAGGCTGGCAAGATGTTCGTGCAGAAAAGAGATGCGGAGTTTGTAAGAGATGTTTGCAAAAAACGCGGTATGCAAAAAGAAAGGTCGGCCCCTAAGAGCACAAAACGGCACGTGCGCGGCTCCCGCGGTGCCCCAACAATCCCAGCAGGCCTCAACGCCCACTCTTAGGCCCCGCCCCTAGTCCCGCCCCTCACGCACAGCGGGGCGTGCTATGCTCCAGTCCGTAAGCTGCTACTCCGCCATTGGCTAGCTAACCGGAGGGGGCGAGCTTGCAGAGACTCCCGGAAGCGCAAGAGGCTCCGGCTCGAGGCGGACCCGGATCCTGGGAACAGTGGGTGCTTAGCAACGGGGGGAGGTGCCCAGTAACAGGCAGGGGGGGGGAATTGTGGGTGCCTAGCAACAGAGAGGAAGGCGGTGCCTAGCAACGAGGGGGGCTCAGAAGAGTGGAGAGGTAGCCCTGGAGTATCTGTGGGTGTCTAGCAACGGGGGAGGACCCTAGCAACGGCGGGGAGTGGGACAGGGCGAAAGTGGGTTTTGGGAGGTGCGCAGGAAGAGCTATGGGTTCCTAGCAACCAGAGAGGGAACCAGGAGAAACTGGGGGAACTATTACAGAGGAAAGGAAGTCATTGGTGGGTGGGAATCTTAGGGTGGACACAGAGGAATGTGAGGGCTTAGCAAAGACAAGGGCAAAGCAGGGAGGTCAGTGCCAGCTCCTACCCGAGTAATCCCTCCCCTTCTCCCCCAGGCTATGTGGCTGGAGGTGGGGTGCTTACTGCGGGGGACCTGTGGACAGCTGGGCCGGACTGTTGGTTTGCCTTGTGGGGCCCTGGGGCCTGGGCCCCACTGGTGGGTAAGAGGCTGGAGAGGGATCTCCAAGGGGGAAGAGGCTGAGGGAGGTTTTAGGGTATAAAATGACAGGGAGGGGTCCAAAAGGGCCAGGCAGATCCCATGTCCTCCACTCCTTACCAATATCTGCTTTTTTTGCAGGGGCCATGTGGGGGTTTTCAGGCCCAAATGTTTCACAAGGATGGGCCTGGCAGAGGCCTGGGTGAGGAGGACATTCGCAGGATACGGGAGGCCCGGATCAGGAAGACACCCCGGCCCCAGGTATCATTGTCTCCCACCCACCCAGCAGCACCCCCTGAAGGCAGCTGGCATCCCAAGCTTGGGGAAGGGTATGTGGGCAGGTTGGTTGGACTCCCTGGGTGCTATGTTCACCTTCCCACCCTCAGACCTTTTCCCCATTTCCCAGCTGAGCGATCGCTCTCGAGAACGCAAGGTGCCCGCTTCCCGCATCAGCCGCTTGGCCAACTTTGGGGGTAGGTGTGACTGTGGGAGATTGTGACCTAGTTCAGAGGAGGCCACATTTACAGGATGAAGCAAGGGGGAGAGGGTGAATCAGAGACAGGGAGAGGAATGAGAGATGGAAAAGAGAAGGAAGGCAAAGGCCTGCAAAGCCAAGAGAAATAGAGGAAGGTAACATTTATTGAGCGCTTGGAATGTGCAAGGCCCCATGTACACTCGATCTCTCTGCACTGAATTGATACGTGTTAATTTCTACTCTATAAATGAGGAAATGGAGGCAAAGGGAAGCGAAGTGACTGGACCCCAGGTTATGCAGCAGAATTGTTCAAACTTCACGTCACAGTGCATGAAATAATTCAGGGGGTTGCAACCAGCATTAAAAAGAATAGAATGGGGGGCGCCTGGGTGGCTCAGTCGGTTAAGCGTCTGACTTTGGCTCAGGTCATGATCTCAGGGTCCTTGGATAGAGCCCCAGGCTCAGCTGAGAGTCTGCTTCTCCCTCTCCCTCTGCCCCTCCCCCTGCTTGTGCTCGCT